ATGACAGATGCATTTTCTTTCCTCAGATATAATTGTCTTCAAATAAGAGGAGACGCTGCCGGACTATTAGAGGAAGTCATTTCGGCTGCACATTTAGGTCGCCTGGAGAAGGACCTTCCTGAGGACTTAAGTATGAAATAAATCCAAACGTAATGAACCGACGTAATGATACTCACCACCTTATATGTCTCTTTGGCGTATGTATTAATGACAAAATATATTTTTTCCTAACTGTTAATAGTCTGTTTGATCAGATGAGGTATCAGAGCAGCATTGTTGATGAAAACATGTCGTCTATGTACCACTCAGGGTAGTCGAGGATGCCATAATCACTTGAGAATTTTTTTTTTTTTTTTGAATATTTGTCATCAGTCTGGCAAAAACCATTTCAATGTCTTCTTGTAACTGCGTTTAAAAATATTGTGAAGCACAGATCTCACTGCCTTGCTCAAAATGGAAATTCTAGAGTAGAGATTCAGCATTTACCTGAGACATGGACGCAAAAGACCAATTTCAACACAATAAGAAGATGGAAAATATTTCCAGCTGGCCTTTGGGTCATATTATCTGAGTGTTTTTAAAAAGAGCTCCTGCTATCATTTTCTGCGAGATAAATGTTCTTTACCTCTTTTTTCCCCATCCTCACTGCTGCGTAAAAATAATGGTTTAAAAAGAAATCGTTCAAAAACTTTCTGAAGTGAGCGGGAAATCAAAAGATGACCAAAAACAAGCAGGTGCAGCGAAACATGTGGAGCACATAATGAGAAGGGAAGAAAAGGAGGGGGGGGGGGGGGCATGCATCTGTCAGTGTACCTTGAGGCCAAATCTTAGAGGGAGGGGCCTAAAATGGCATGCGCTAGTGTGAGCTAGGCTGGATGGTTGCATACTCGACAAGATCCCCGGGGCCAGTGTGAGAGGAGCTTCGTAGGCTGGGAGAGGTGGCCAAAGCTGCAGTATCCAGCTCCGCATACTGGACATCACAGTCCTTGTGGCCAGAGTTCTGGAGACAAGAAAATATAACAGACAACTCTATTATTCCTCCGTCAGTGAGAAAACCATAGATTGAAGTTTCCTCCTACGGGATGATCTCCTCTTTGGAGCACAGAGATAAGTCCATAAGAAAGTCAGTGATTGTATCAAATGGTGACGGTGGTGCGGGTGCTTTATCTTCGTCGTGCTTAATAAAATCAGCGGCGCAAAGGAGAGAGTTATGGTGGCATAAATGCAAAGCTGTTAGCTAGGGCTATACATAAAGCATCAACGGAAGGGACACCACTGGTGAAGGAGTCTGGGGGTGGGAGGGGGCGGGGGAGATCAGTAGTAGGGAATGCATAGGTATTATTACCTGTTGTCCCCAAACTGCATCAGCGTACCTTATCATTTTTGTGCGAATGGATTACATAGAAATGATTAAAGCTTTGACTGAATTTCACATTAATAATTTAACCCTACAGGGCAATCTCGCCACCATTTCACATCCTTCTATCACCGACTCTCAGCTCTCACTGGATATTTAAATATGTGGGATATTTGTCATGACCAGGGTGCAATCAGGGGGAAAATTACAGCCGCATCGCATTCAAAATTGGCAGATAGTGTTTGGCCCCGGGAGAATCATCATTAGTAACACTTGATGCTCAGCAGTCAATGCATGTCTCAGACAAATAGTGTTTTGAAAACCTGAGTAGTAGCCCATTTATCTTCAGTGCGGTCCTAAACTTCAATTTAAGTGGGATGTTAGCCTGGATGAGAGATAAATCTACAGACATTCTATGCTCAGCGACCACATATTTACCCCATATCTGCTTCCTGTGAGCATATCATTTAATATGATAGTTTGCACATGTTGTTTATTGACTTCACAAATCATTTCTGCCAAACAAAGATTTGAAACAATTGAGGTGTTTCTTTAATTTTGTTGACAGGAGAAGTCATGGAAATCCTAATGTACTTTACATAAATGTGGGCCGTGAAAACTATTCATGAGTGTTTTATTTAATGTGTTAGAGTTTCAGAGCACGGTTTTATTTTTAAAGGCGATGTTTATGAACATGAGCGATGTGCATTAGTCGCACATTTATGCGAGAATCTCTTAAACAACAGACATAGAAATACACTGTGGGTTAATGTCATAGCCGCAAAAACAAACGACAAATGTTTTTTTTGGTGGTGACAATACACTGAAACTATTGAAGATGTGGTATAATTTACTCATAACTTGCACTGCACAATCTCGCAAGATATTTATTTTGGGGTCGTCTCGCATCATGTTTCCCAGGAGTTTACGAAAAATGTCTATTGACTTGGGTCACTAAGGTTTGTTACTTTTAAAATATCCCAGAAGTCCCCAGAATAGTTTGAGAAACACTGAATTAGACAGTGGAGAGATGTGCAGTCAGAATGACAGATGAGTTCAGGTTAGGATTGATGTATCATCAGGAATCAGTTCTTTGGATTTTTGAGCTCTATGAATTTCACAGCTGATACAGTGTAATCTGTAATGAGTATGAAGATCTTGAGAGAAATTCTGCCGAGATTAAGGCATGTTGTGAAAAAAGAAAAGGAATGAAAAATACTTGGAAAAAGTAGTGAGTGTTTAAGTGATGTTCAAGTTCAAGTAGCCATCACTTAAATCAATGTAACAGCCCCAGAGATGTTCATAACTGATAAGGTACAGTAGGTCAGTGATTCCCAACCACTGCGCCGTGTCACACAAGTGTCCTACGAGGGATCATAATTAACCTAATTAGTCTGAAGCCTATTATTCCTTTGCTGCAAATTCCTCAGTTTGACAGTGGCAGGCAGAAAAATTAAATACTCTCCCACTATGTGGATGCATGTTGCTGTGAAACCTGAAGCAGAGAGGGACTCAGAGCTGTTGAAAGTCTTGATGTTGTTACATTTCATGCTGTGAAACGTGAAGAAGCAGGCAGGACCTAAATGCAGCAACTGAGTTATTTAAAAAAAATCAAGTTAAATTCACTGCAACAGGATCAAGCAGAAACAACAGCAAAGCAGGGATCAAGAACTAGGAACATTGCAACAATGAACGTCACACAACAACAACCACATCCGACATCACAATGCACAATGACCCAAACAGGACTGAGTGAAGGAGAGAGGTATATATACCCAGGGCACCAGGTGGCACCAGTGAGACTGATACACAAGTAATCACAGGACAGGTGAATGTGATAACACTGATTAACACAGAGAGGGACAGAGACCTCACAGATCTTTCTTCAATTCCTGATGTATATCAAGGTCGTGTTCAACCAAATAGTCCAAGGTTTCACACTAAATAGGCAAACTGTGAGTATATTTAAACTAGTAGATCACTGTGTGTCGTAATCATTTGGAACATTGTTATTTGTTGGCTCAAGAAGGATGGTAAAAACTGAGGTTAAATGGGCATAAAGGGGGACAAACAAGGATGACAAAATGACTAGCTGCTAAGCATTGTTGAACACAGTATCATCTACAAGACAGAGGTTCAGATCCACCAGGAAAGTTGAAGACAAAAAAAAAAGAAAAGAAAAGAAATGAAGCAGCTTGAAGAGAAAAGGTTGAGCTTGAGTATTAGTAGATAAAGTATATTTATACTTATGTGAAATAAAGAATAGAATAGAATGCAAAACAAAAAAGAAGAAGGTTCTAGAACATTCCAGGGTTGCATGAAGTTGAAGATGAAAACGTCTGTGCAACAGTGGGGGTGCTAAGGAGTAGGGTGAAATGGAGCAGAAATGAACAGAATGTGCTCAGAAATAGAAACCTGTCACCTGCACTTACCCACTTTGACAAAGCCAGACAAAAAAGGCACATCTGCACCTTTTTAACTCCAAAATATCTTCAGACTATATATGGCTGACTGGACGATAAATCTCTTTGTGTCTTAACACTTGTCATTTTCAGGTCAAGAGGTCACAGGTACACACCAGTTATTATTGTCTACCTATTAATTGAGGTAGGTTAGTAAAAAAACACATTTGTGCTTTATGGATATTGTGTTAAAAAAACAAACTAATTTTGCACAAACTATGGGTAAAAATACACGCAGTTACCAAAACCACACAAGACTTCAGTTGAATATTGGGAAAAAAACAGTTCAACAAACACATCACTAAAATTATTTTTGTGTCTTTGTGTTTTTGTTTATCACGTTTCTGGTCTTAGATGTGACATTTTTTCAGGTTTTCACACAAGAGCCTGAACTGTGTATTGGAGTCAAATGGTATTAAAGAGAAAGCGATTTTTCAACTGATGGACAATTACCACGGTATCACAGTCCAGAGAAACTCTTAAGAAATCTGTACACGCACAAACCTCGGCGTTTTAGAAATACACGAAAACATTCAAAGGATGAGAGACATTTATTTGTCATTAACTCATCGAGATAACTTCAGTAAGTATTTAACGCACTCGAGCTCCTCTGCCAACGACAGCAGCCGAGCTCAGTTAACGGACACGTTTGATTACAAGACAAACACTTCACAGACAATCGTTAGAACCCAAGAACAATAAAGTGCTGAAGAGATATGCAGTGCGATGGGTCTGCATACAGTTGCCGTTCAAACAAGTGAGTGATTAAAGTGGCTAGGAGGAAATCGTATAAAGATTAGGCTGAGTGCAGAGAGTGGGGTGAGTTACTGTCTCGTGGTGTGATAACGTTCACAGAGCAATAAGCGAGAGAACATTGGCTGGCACGCTTTGACTTGAAAGTTAAACTGTGTGGTTGTAAATGTTTAGATAAGCAGCTGAAAAGTTCAGCCTATTTAAAGCTCAGCTTGTATGACGCTCACAGGCAGCAGAACGCCACGTTCATAATCTCCAATGACATTCAGGAAGCCGCTACCTTCCCTTTGCAAATCAATTTCTTTAAAAGCCTGACACATAATGTCACAATGACTTCGCCCTTTCACCAGCAATTACTACATCGGGCTGATGTAGTTGACCCCGTCGGAGGAGTTCCTTCAGATGACGCTTGCGGCAACGCTACTTACCGACTTATCGGTGAAGGGGGTCGACTCAGATGGTGCCATGTCGTAATAAGGAGGCTGAAGAGGAAGCTTCTGCATTTCTTCATCCTTGTCCAGATGAACCACCTGTGGAAAACACCATGATCTCAGCAACGCCAACAGTAAAATCCAAAATTATACAATCACAGGCAGGTCTACTGCGTCTAACAGAACCTGTAGTCAACGTTTACAGATATAATTCACCTTGTCATTAGCATATAGATTGACATAGATACAAAGGTTTATCTGAGCTACAAATACATTTCTATCTAACTATTGCACTTGAATAGAATCTAAAAGGCTCTTAAACGACTGTGCACACACACACACACATATATATTTCTGGATAAATATTTATTAATATTTATTTTTTTGGCTTAAAAAAAACAACTATAAAATCATAACATTTTGGCTTAAAAAAAACAACTATAAAATCATCAAATTTAAACCTGTCACTTATTTTTAAGGCAATCTCTACTTACTCCGAAAATCTCATTTCATGTGATAAAACTGCATTAAAGTTTGTTTTTTTAACCTGATAAAATAGAACCAATAGGTGGCAGTAATGCTACCAAAACAGTAAAAGGCTGCTCAACACGGAGGAGGAAAAGCACCAAGGGTTTAACACATGCTCAATTAAATGTGTATTAGTGCAGTGAAATGTGTCACTACCCAGACTGTCCATTTTCAACACCAGTGACAATAAAAACACAAGATAATATATTGCAGATATGTGTCACGTCCTGTCAATGATGATAAACATGACAGATCGTTGGCCTTTTACAGTCAGAGAAACTCATCATGGGAAATACAGAAAATAAGATTCAAGCAACTTTTCAGAAAAGAGAGAGATTCACATTTGATAATGTGTTTCTGACCCCGGAAATGAAAAGTTACTTTTCGTAGAAATGTTTCTGACTTCACACAGAGGGCGCTACTGTACGTATTCTTTGTTAATATGAAGTTAGAGTTAGTGTACCTGGATGTTGTTATTTTGAATACAACTGACATTTTGTTTTACCACATGTCAGTCACAGTCTGTTAAATAAATTCCATCTGCACCAAACATTTAGTATAATGTTAATTTATTTTTCCAAATTGCCACCAACCAACATCTGCAACCTAGTGAGCGCTGCTGCGAACGTTTTCTCTTCTGTTGAACTCTTGATCTCTCGTGTGGTGATTAGTCACAGCCACATCACAGACGGGCGACGATGATGATGTGAACATTTGACGTATACTGGATGACTGCAGATTACTGACTAATGCTGGAAGAGATATTGCCGAGATAGAAACCCACTGCAGGATCCAGCTGTGTGGGGTTTATTTGCATCACAGAAGTTACGCTGGCGATTATTTACGGGCAAGGGAAACACGTGTTGTCAATAAATGGAAACAAAACAATCTTGATTTAATTCCCATGGAACAATCTAATATCTCAATTTATCCTGAACAAGAGTTTCTCCTTCATTCCAAGATGATCTGGATCGACCTGGATTGACCTGGGTAACTAACTACGGTTTTAGGAGATGAATTTGATCTTGATTGTATTCTTTTCTTATTGGTTCTAACTTTGTCTCATATAAGTCAACAAAGATAAAATGATAACACCAGATGTTTTTTTTGAGCCACCCTTGTATTTAGCCGTGACTCACATCTGCCTCTTTTACCAATTTTTCACAATTCAGAGTGAGCTGATTCCAATGTCATCTCACATAAATATATATTTTTTTATCTGTCCTCGTTTGCTTCCTATTCAGCCGTGACCATGTTTCAGCCTCTAGATATTGTACCTCCTGTGCGTGTATCTGTTTTTGGACTACCTTCTTTATTCTGTCATTTCAGTTGTATTTTACTGTCACTGAACTCCATCTATCTCATTCAAAAAAACAAATGAGACCAAAGTGAGGTGTTTGTTGTCTGGGATTAAACCATAGTTGCTGCTGACGTCAATTGTACGCTGTTGTCACTGTCACAAGTACGTTACAGTTCTATATCACTTTCCTCAGAAGTGTATTGCATTTCAAAATTTAAAAAGTTATTTTATTTACAACAGTGTCACTTTGTTGGAATGTTGGTGTGTTGTCCACATTTCTTCGGCTTTGGGGCTACTATTCAAATAGATATACATACACATACTTTATATATACATAATACTGTATGTTGGTGTACTGATTAAATGCATGTCGGTGGATGGAACAATAAATTACAGTCTTACAGTGTATGGTCGTTACTACATACTATACAATTATATTTAATAATGCATGTTTTATTTTAAATGCTCAGGATCTACCAGCCCCCCCTACTGGTAGATTACTGATCTGGACTCATTGGACTACCTGGTCTGGAATGAATTAACCAGTGTTTATCATCTGCTATGTATATTTACTGTATATTAAGCCTCATGTGTTAAGATCGGCTGTCAAACTGTGGACAAAGAAGAAGAAGATTACGGCTCCTATACAGTAAACGAAAACTGCACAGAAACATGTTACATAATTTGAATGCTGCCACTGTAATAGTAGGTTTATTTATGGGAAACGTCATCAGGTAATTCCTAGTGTCACTCATGTACAAAGAAACACATTAACACATCTTACTTCTCTCACTAATAGACGTCTATAAAAAAAAGTAACCCTAAAAAAGGGCACTTCCATGATTCTGCAGCCGAGGCCTTTGTTCTGTTCACTTCGAGCAGTGAGGAGACTGCCAAACACTGTTTGATCTTCGTTTTCTTGACTTCAAAAAATTAAGCTGTTGAATGCATGTCAGTTTGCATTTGGTGTGTGTATGAGCGTTTCTATTCATATCACATCAAAAGCCATAGAGTTTAATGGCTAAGCAGTTGAACAGTGAGCTGAGTGCTGAGACTTCACATGTAATTAGCCGCAGGAAATGTTTGTTCGGAAGATAAAGACATCGGCCTCCTGGATGATTGTCGTCACTTTGGCTCTGGGAGAACATCTTACAGCAACGCACACTGATCATTTGTGATGCACAGACTGCAGATGTTCATAATACGGCCATTGTGCCAGGTTTGCTTTGAGCACTGGGCAATGATAAAACAGCGGTCCTGCCAGTCTCCACCGGCCAGTTAAAATAATAAAAAAAAAAAATTTTTGATACAAAGAGCTAATAGTTTTGTGTGCCCCCCCCCCAATATATACAGAATACTTGTATTCAATGTGCTATATATCTTATTCTAAACGTCTCTTTGTTGTTCTATTTTGAAGAATAAAAACATTGGAATAGGGAATTGACTTTAAAGGAAGTGTAGGATTGGTTATCCCATAAGCCACTGTTTATCAAAAAATCCATAAAAGGAACACTGAACTTTCCAAGTCCAGTTAAAGATGTTTTTTTTTAATGTTAAAGTTTTTGCATTAAAGTTTTAAAACAGTGGCAGGCTTATGCTGGACTTTTCCGGTTCAATGCCCCCTGCTGGGCAGCTGAGGTATATAGGCAAAAATTGCATTTTTATGTGTCTTTAAAAAGGAGTCAAGGTCCATCCATTATTATATACAGTCTATGATTTGATGACATTGATGAGGTTCTCTCTCACCCGTCCGCCCTCTCACCTAAAATTCCATAAAAGTTCTTAAAAACTTAAAATGGTTCATTACCTGTTTAAAGACCTCTAACGACGGTTCTGCTCCAGTGCAGTGAACACTACCACGCGTACATTTTGGCAACTCTAGTATCTCAATGGTATCACAGCAGTGACTGTATATAAAATTTGTATGTGCGGTTGAAAAAGGTCAAGCCGTTAAAGTAGACCACGATGGCCTTCCTCTCCACTGTAAGGTCGGTTAATAATTACTAGAGTACTTCTGGCTCTCGGCCACAAGTTACGGAGTACATTTAATAATACAAAAAATTGTGTCACATGGGATTTTAGAATTACACACTGATGTTGCTTAAAATGGAATTTTTTCCTCTAAATTCTAGCATAATTTACAAATTTGACAGTGTTTATTTTTTGTTTTTTTTTTTGTCTTATTTAAGAAGACTTAAACCTAGTGGCTAAAACCAGAACTGCTTAAAAAAACAGTTTACAAACCTTCCACTGATTCATCATTCAACTATAGTGAACAACCTAATGGCTGTGTTCGTTACCAATGCGTTTATAAATTACATATTATTTATCCTTAAGGAGCAAACAGTCACTTCCTTACACTTGAACGCCGTCTAAACTTTATCAAAACGTTCTCTGTTTTTTATCCTTCTAAAGTGGAACAATTGAAGAATATTTTAAACTTGATCCTGGAGCAGTGACATAGATAAAAAAAAGGTTATTATGACAATCGCCTGGTGGCTGAATTGATGTTGATCATCTCTGTAAAACACAGCTCATCAAAATGATTGACAGGTGGAGACATGTCAAGCTGGAGGGGTCAGTATAAAGCTTTAATGGATTCTTTGTTTTTGTCTATTTAACCTATGGCTGAGGTTTTCTTAGATATATATTTGGATGATGTAAAACCTGACAAGAATATTGCAGCCTTTTTTTCTCACTTGAAATCTTACAAAATAAATAAAATATATAAATAAAAGCTCTATTTTATTTATCCCCTTATTTACGTCATCATGTTACCTGTTAATAGTTAATGCATTTGAAAAGGATGTAGTGACTGTAGAGGGCCCCATTTTTATCCAATTCCGTACTTACACGAGAAGGAACCTTACTGTGCAACAATAATGAGTCCGCAATTATTTTGTTTTTCTTTCCGCTTTTTTCCCCTTGTGTTAGTGGTCACCATAGCAACGGTCTTCCTTGTAAAATGTGACAGTTTTCTTTACACTGTATGCCCTTCCTGATACAGCCTTCCCATTGAGATTGAGAGTTGAAGCTGGAGGTGGAAGTAAAAAAGTGAACGCTAACACTTAGCGACTGCTGCACTTTCCATAAAAGTGATTATTTTTTGTTGTTGCTGTTTACAACGGAAATTCAGAAAATGTGACTTCCAATAGAAACAGTCTGAGGATAAACAGTGAGAGTGTTTGCCTCCTCAGCCCGGAATGATGATCACAGAAAATTGTTGTCGCTGTATGATTCCACTTATTAATTCACTCATTGTTGACATTTCAGTTTGACTGTGATTAATAACAAAGCTGCTCATTTACATTGTAAAATCCTATCAACTGGTTCAACAAAACACGGTCTGTTGCTTTCACTTGGGTGGTTCTGTGTTATTACCATACTATATTTTTATTTATTTAATGCAAACAAATATTGTTTATAAAAGCATACAGTTCTGCTGCATTTCTCTTTATATACATCCAGTTTGTCAGATTTCCAACATGGCCGTTGTTAGTAATACATGAATCTGTCCGTATTGTACACACATAATATTTTTTTTTTATTGTAACAACCAGTCAGACACTGCAGTTTCCCTGCTGTTTCTCATCTCAATGCCTCCTGTGTTGGTCATGACGAATGGAAAACAGTTATAGCCACAAAACACAGTATACAACTATACTGGAATATAAGAAAAACAAAGCCATGCCACGATGAGAGAACTATGTTCTAGACACATTGTTTAGAGAAAGATTAAATACGTCAAATGCCCAGAGCACCAAAAGACCCTTCAAGGACACACATACTATTTGTACTCCATTAATTTATCATATTTTAAATGATCAAAAACACCAAAATTAAATAACCTTTATGCATATTAGAATGTAAGATATTTGAGTGAAAATACAACTTGATGAATGAATGTAAAGTCAATCTGTCAAGGTCTTTCCAAAGAAACACAAAAACCTCTGTTGACTGCAAAAAATAAACCAAAACAAACAGCATCGCATATTTTACCCTCTGAGATTTATGCTGTTTGTTTCTGTGATTTGCTGTTGGTTTTGATCCGCTGCAGTGTTTCTCTGCCTGTAAATTCACACTTCACGGTCTCTACACTTTCTGTTCTCTCACTTTCCTCACTCCGCATTAGTCAGCTCAACTTGACCGAAAAGAAACATGGCTTCTCGCTTTCATTTTTCTCTTGATTGTATTTTCTCTGCTGTCAACCTCATTGTCACCGACGGGACTTTTTGTCTTTATCAGCAGATCTTCACACAGTGCTGTCGGAATGAACCTGGTGAGGTCAAATCTCAACAGGAGTGGAAGTTACATTGTTATTTTTATTATTATTATGCTTATAAATATATTATTATTATTATATCATTATTGTTATTATTATTATTATAGTTATTATTTGTAGTAGAAGTAGTAGTACTAGTAGTAGAAGTATGTGGTAGTATTAGAGCTAGTAGCAGGACATTTTACTGATTTCTCCTCAAATAATTTTAAATCAAAACACCAAAAACTACAGCACAATAATAAAGAAAGTTGAAGATATTAATATAAATAATATACATTTATGATTAATTTTAGAGAAAATGATTTCCATTAGGGAGAACTGTGACTAGCGTGACTAACATTTAATTGCATTTATACATAAATTTTTTATCAATGTAATAATACATTTTTGAACATCTATAATCAATGAACAATACATTTTTTCATCAATGTAATAATAGATTTTTGAACATCTATAATCAATGAACACATCATTATATAACGACTAATTTCCACTACATGTTTTCCTACAGATCTGACCAGGAGTGGGAAGATGAAGCCATATCTCAAGTATCTACACAGTTAACATATATATACATACATTAACTGCTACATAGTTTAATAGTTTACATAGTTTACGTACGGCATCTACAGCTACAGAGGGCAAGGACCAGAGCAGAGGAGGAGAAGGCGGATCGTACCTGGATGTCATCAGACGTCAGTTGTCCCTTCATGTCACTGTTCTTCTTTTTGGGTGGAGGAGGAGCCGGTTTGTGGGCGGGTGGGAGGTCTGTCCTGTTAGGAGAGTGAAAAGATAACATGACACTCAGAACAGTGAGGGATGACCATCCGTTTTCCGCCTCACCTTCTACAGCACTCTGTAATGAGAAACCCTGCCTGCACTTGCCTTTTTTCNNTTGGATTTTGATAGATCTCGTGTTGGTGGCTTTGTGGCGGTGGCTGCCATTCCCCCTGCCCTTTCAAAGGCTCTCGCTGGAGAGACACTGTGCTAATGAGAGCAGGCTGTAATTGGACACTGAGGTGGGGAGGTGGGGATGGAGTGGGTACAGGGAGGAGTGGGGGGCAGGGAGAAGGGCATGTGTGAGTCAAGTCCTCGGGGTGGATGCACCCTCATCATCCAGAGTGCCCTGGGACAAACAACTGCCAACCGTGCAGTGACTATTTGTTCGACATGTCATTTTGATCAGAGATCCGGTGAGTTCATCAGGCAGGTCCTGCTCTCAGTCTGTCTCACTTCACCTGGCACATATATATATATATCCTATAATCCCAGTACTTAGCCACTTAGCCTTCCTCTCTGATGGCACTTTAGGAGAAGAACAACACCTCAACAATAAAACACCTCATTTACATGACACCATAAAAGGAACATTCACCTTGGATTTACATTTAAACAGTGTTCACTGACCAAAGAAGCCACTGCAGCACAGTCACCACAGTGATATTTCTGAAGAACTGACAGTAGCATCTTGATGCCAAAGTTGTTGACAAAACATGAAGGTTTGAGAGAAAACAGCCAGTGCGGTCATTATCCCTTAAATCTTCTTCCCTTAATCGTGTCCACGGTCCGATATCATCTGCCACATTCTGCCATGGTATCAGCAGTGAGCAAAGATAATGAAGTGGATCACAGACACTGAGCTGTGTACCTACACGCATTATCTCTTGCTCTTCCCGCCTCCAATTTACGTCCTTATTGAATAACATGACCTTTCCGCAAGGCCAACTTGGCGTTTTAATGTGCAGGAAATTTGTGCATGAGTGCACCTCTTAACTCTTTCTTTCACGCTCATTATTTCCAGTCCGTATCACCTTGTCTCCAGACAGAGATGCGGCGCTACTGCCAGATTCAAGTAGCACCCTGTTCTGCCTGCAGCAGCAGAGAGGCATGGTGAAAATCATACACGGTGTGCGAATGAGACTTCTCACTGCTACAGCCACAACAATCATTTTCTGTCGTTAAGCCTTCACAGCATCCATTTTCTTTGAGACAGGAAATTGGAACAGTTGTGGAAATGTGGCTTCCACACGTAGAGCAGCAAGCATTGTTACTTTAAAAAAAGGTACGTAATGTTCTTATTATACCACATTTCCAACAGAGGTCGAACTAGCTAATGGTTGCTAATGTATTTTCATTTACGTTTATGACATAGTTGTTTGGCCTTGAGTGCCTTAATATACAAGATAATCACATCTTTCTATCTCCTGTGGATTCCTGATACATGAATGAATATGCACACTGTATATTCATGGCATTATGTTTCTGTTAAAATACTATTTTGAAAACAAGCCGCACACAATACAATATCCAAATCATTCATTCAAGGAACTTTTTTCAATATGTAATGCTCCATAGGTATGGAGGTCAAAATAAACATAATAAATGAATGATTTATTTAATGAAATAAATCAGCATAAATGAAGGATTTATTTAATGAAATAAATCAGATCTAAATCTGAATTGCTTTCTAATATGATGTCATCATATCACTGTCTGTTCATTCATCCAAGTTGCTCTAATACACAGTCAATACACACTTTTTCCACACACTTTCAGAAAAAGGTTTTAATTTCACCAAATTGAGGTTTGACAAACACTTGTTTTATTTAGAAATGTTAATTTATATCAATTAACCATGAATAAAAAAGTGACGAACGATGATCATGAATAATTTGTGATTAATCCACAGCTTCTCTCTAATTAATCAGATTAACGCTTTGTCAAAGTATTACCATTGTATTTCCTCATTATTGTATTTCTGAGAAATTCCTTCAAAAGTGTGTTTACGTGTTTCCTTCATGTACGGATACCAAAGAAATGTGACCAAAAATAGCAGCCATTCTCTCTTTGTGACAGTGGAGAATACAGTTGCATATTTAATTATGTTACGCACAAACAGAGGCCTCAGGAGACTGACACTGAATAGTCAGTGTATAGAATGTCAGTGGTTGTTATAGCACAAATATACAGCGTAGCTCAGGGTGACGTGCATCAAACATCCGGCATGTTTGACTATTGTATACCACCTTTTAATAGAGGCTGAAGGTCTAAAGAGATGACGCTGTCTTGGATGATGTGCATCCAACTCAGGTTAGTGCAGAAAATAAAAAAAAAATCCTAACAAATGAAGCAGAGATTTTTTTTTTTTTTTTGTTGCCGACTTACGATCACTTTGTGGTTACTTTGTTGCTCTGTGTGCAGTACATTTCAAGGATAAATTCAGATCAAGCTCTTAATCTTTTATGAAATTTGAGTCTCTTAACCTGTCCATATATCTCAGTACATTTGTTCTCATTGCTCTGATTAAATTCACTTCTTCCTAGCTTTTTCTTTCTTCATTACCCCTTAATTCAGGCATGATCAAACTAAGGCTCGGGGGCCAGATGTGGCCCGCCAAACTTTTACAAATAATATTATTTATTTATATTATCGTTATACTTCTGCCTTTTTCCTGCAATACCTACAATTCCCCAAAAGATGGCATAGAAAATGATAAAAGCTTTTTAGCAATTTAGCATTATGCATAACTTTTACATGCATAATTAACATGATTTACATTTATTAGTTCACATAAATGCTTCTTCTCTCTGCCCCTGACCTGCCCCCCTGTTCAATTTTGGGACAATTGATCTCTCTGCCCCTGACCCGCCCCCCTGTTCAATTTTGGGACAATTGTGGCCCGCGAGTCAAAAAGTTTGCCCACGTCTGCCCTTAGTCAATTTACACAATTAAAATATTTTTTTTTACTCACTAGTTTTCCTACTATGTAAACGCCTGGTTCTTGACACTGTGCACAAAGACTTGTATTAATTCTCATTTATTTATGGTAAATAACATTTAAAATTCAGAATCTTAAATGTTTAATCTCATTTGTATAAAAGCGTCTGTCCTGCTGTGCTGTGTGTCTGCGAGGACTGATAAATATTCTAAAAAAACAAACAAACAAAAAAAACAACAGCTCGGCTCTAGTTATGGGCAATATTGTCTTTAATCAGTGAAGATAATTATACGCTTTGTAATTGTATAGATCTGTTATCACAGTAACGTCACGTTTCTGCGTGTTCCTAATGATATGGTGAAATATTATGGAACAGATTGTAAAGCTGCAGTGTGTAATTTGTGTCATCTGCCTGAAAAACTCTAATTACCCAGAGTGCTGTGTGCACGCCGACATGTTTGCCTACAGGTGCGTTCGCACCCTTTTTCTCCTCCGCTGCCCATTTACAACATGATTGTAGTCACACTAAGTGTGTGTCGTCATTAGTCTCACATACGCGAACCAGTTTCAGCCATCTTTCTGTACAGCATCTTACAGTGTCTTGTTAAGATGATGCAGTAACTCTGCCTGTTGTTATAACTGTTGCTGCTGTTTCCTTTTTATTTTCTTTAATCCTTCTAAAGGCTGTGATAGGGTTTTATTGGAGCAGTGACTTATTTAAACAAATTATAAGACTGTTCAGTGATATATTCAATAAATAAAACATTGTTGTCACACTTCCTTAGATTAGTCACCGATCCACACCTGGCTGACCTGACATTTAGTTGTAAACGTCTACGACCTAAATGTGTGCTAATAGTCGAGGTGCAAAAAATCGAATTCAGTATCTACATGTTTCCACACTGAATGCTCCTGACTCGCTGTCATGTAACAAAGCTAACTGCTAGCAGACTGTGTGGCCTTGAATCAAATCATTCTTCAACAAATGTCTTGTGTCAGTGTCATCTTTCAAGCTGTGCAGATCACAGCAGACTGTTTCCATCACTGCAGCATCAATTTCCCGTCGACGTGTTTCGCCTCTTCTCCAGGTAACCATACACTCAGCGTGGAGTTTATTGATTGTGTATCGAGTTGGTTTATACTGTATGTATTCCTTACATTATATCAAAACTGTAAGGCTAATCAAAAAGCCTGCTTTGTAAAATTTCTCGTAAAAGTATGGGCGAGCTGCCGTTTGCAGACATGACGTTCATCTCTCACCCCCTTCGTGCATCCTTCCTGTGATGCCGACAGCATGTGGGCGCTGCCTATTATGAGAGCCACACGCTAATGAAAGCTGACAAGAACCACAAGCCCGTGGGGAGCAGAAAGCACTGGGCAGAGAACCATGAGATACTACACTGAAGTCTGCAGCGTTTCCTTCTCAGACATCCACCTTGAAGACCTTGCTATTCCCCGCTCGGTTGGCTACAAAAGGATCAGGGCAGCTTAAGGGGAGATTTAAGGGGGATAGCGAGGAGAAAACATAACTAATCCTCAAACTGAGGAGAGTAATCTCTGACGGAAGATTTACAGCAAAGCAAATGACTCTGACAATGCTTTTACCAAAAAGATACTGGTTCTATTTTTATATTTTAAATCTTTAAGCTGCAGATAATCGCAGCCAAACCTGACCCTGGGTGTGAAAAAAATAAAAATAAAAAAATAAATACAAACAACTTTCTTCAGTTCGTATATGAAATAAGTTGAACCGCCGCACACTAAAAAAACAACTTTCGTCAGTTCGTATGTGAAATAAGTTGAACCGCCGCACACTAAACACAGTCTGGTTCAGTCCAACTGCAGGAACACAGCGCTGATTCATTTAAGCTGATCCTTGGTGCTCTCATTGATTCATTTTGATCACAATCTTATTTGGCAATTTAAATGCTAATGATACTTTTAATTGCAAGATGGGATAAATGTGATTTGATCTTTAGAAGCCAATTACTCTCATGCATCGTCTTGCCGCAGCCTTTTCAAAAGGCAGTCAACAATTGTACAAAACAGCGCGGCTCAGCTTTTTATACATCATGAGAAAGAACTTCCAAGACAAAACCGAGAGTTTGATCAGTTTACTTCTTTCATTTGTTTATAAAAATAGATCTGAAACTGATTTTCTTTTTTCCTTAAGTATAACTTTGCCATGTTAACACTCACTGACACTGAGATGACAAACATCAAAACAAGTGAGTTTTTTCTACACGTATGATGACACAGGTGTCACACTTAACCCAACAAACAACAGTGTTTATTTTAGTGCAGTAACAGGAACAGTTTATAGATAATCCACATGGACAAGAAGACAAATCCATACTGACTATAATTCAATGTCAGACGCTATTCATAATTTAGGTTTTTAGGTAAGTTACAACAAAGATATATATATATATAAAAAACACACCATTAAACCTGATAGTAAATTCTATTTCATATTCACATTTAACAAATGTATGGAAAAAACATCCCATTTATCTGACAGTTGTTTCATTTGCCCTATATAATCACAGGAGCAAAAGAAAAATTCGAGCCTCAAACATTAAAAAACCCCATCACCTGTGTATTTTTTTCTTTTTTTGCTGCATTATATATATATATTTTTTTTTTTTTTGATACTGCAGCGACTGTTGACAGACGTTGGCACCACTTTGATTTATACCAGCCAGTATCT